AAGACATGAATATTATTCCTACAATTCATGCTTCTTATGAGACACTGCAACATCTAAGAAACTTGTCAAGTGGAACAAAGGCTCGGATCACTGCTCTTGGGAAGGAGTGTCCTGCAAAAAGGGTTGTGTTTCGAGTCTGGACTTGAGCAGCGAGGAAATTACTGGTGGACTTGATAATTCGAGTCCTCTTTTCGGTCTCAAGTCAATCGAGTACCTGAATTTGGCTTACAACTTCTTCAACTATACTCAGATTCCATCCGAGTTCAAGCAGCTAACCGGTTTGAGTAATCTGAACTTGTCGAATGCTAGCTTTGCGGGGCAGGTTCCAATTGAGATTTCGCACCTGACGAGGTTGGTAACTCTTGATTTGTCTACCTTTTATCTCCCCGAAACTCCTTCGTTGAAACTTGAGAATCCAAGATTGGATGTGCTGCTTAGGAACTTTTCTGAGCTTGTTGAACTTTATCTCGATAGTGTGAATATATCAGCACAGGGGACTGAGTGGTGCCAAGCGATATCATCTTCATTGCCAAACTTGAGGGTATTGAGCTTGTCCACTTGTAACCTTTCAGGCCCTATTCATAATTCATTACTGAAGCTTAAGTCACTCTCAGTTATTCGTATTGACGGCAACAATTTGTCTACTCAAGTTCCGGAGTTCTTCTCGAAATTCCCGAATTTGACTTCCTTACAAATCATGTATTCTGGATTATATGGTGCATTCCCAAAGAATATCTTCAAGGTGCCGACACTGCAGACTATTGACTTATCCGGTAATCCGCAGCTTCAAGGTTCCTTACCAGAATTTCCAAAGAATGGCTCTCTTCGATCGCTGGTTCTCCATGGGGCAAATTTCTCAGGCCAGATGCTTCCGAACTCTATTGGGAACCTCAAATTGCTGTCCCAAATAGATATTGGAACTTGTAATTTCACTGGGTCAATCCCGAGATCAATGGAAGACCTTACACAGTTGGTTCATTTGGATTTGTCGGCTAACAATTTCAATGGTTCAGTTCCATCTTTCAGTATGGCCAAGAATCTGACCCTACTAGATCTTTCTTACAATCAGCTAACGGGTCAGATTAATTCCTCACGCTGGGAAAACCCGACTAGTCTGGTGAATCTTGACTTGCGACACAATCTACTTAATGGGACTATTCCACCATCTGTGTTTTCTCTTCCCATGCTGCAGAAGCTACAGCTTTCTGACAATGAATTTTCTGGTAAGTTGCCTGAATTTGGTGCTATAGCTGTACTGGACACACTTGATTTGAGTAGCAACAAGTTGGAAGGGCCAATTCCGAAGTCTATCTTGAAATTTCGAGGGCTTAAGATTCTTTTACTATCTTCAAACAACTTCACTGGCTCTTTTCTTCTGAATGATATTCAGCAGCTAAAAAATCTTTCGAGTCTTGATCTTTCATTCAATAACTTGTCTATTAATTACACAGAGACCAATTCCTCTCATTCTTCATTTCCAAATATTACCACATTGAAGTTAGTTGCTGGCAATTTGAGAAGAATCCCAAGTTTCTTGAGAAATCAATCAAAATTAAGCACTTTGGACCTATCACAAAACCAGATTCATGGTGAGATACCCAACTGGATTTGGAGGCTCAGTAATCTTGTTCAACTAAATCTTTCTTGCAACTCTCTGGAAACTCTTGAAGGTCATTTCCTCAATCTTACTTCTACTTTGTACGTGCTTGACCTTCATTCCAACCAGCTTCAGGGACAAATTCCACTGCTTCCAGGATTGGCCATTTATCTGGATTATTCGAGAAACAACTTCAGCTCTAGCATACCGGCAGACATTGGTGATTTCCTTATGTACACAATGTTCTTCTCTCTTTCAAGCAATCACTTCCACGGGATCATTCCAGAATCAGTGTGCAAGGCGCCATATCTTCAGGTTCTTGATTTGTCCAATAATTCTTTAAGTGGCAGAATTCCCCAATGCTTGACTGAGATAAGCAGGACACTGGCAGTACTTAATCTGAGGAAAAACAAACTTGATGGCTCTGTCCCTAATAAATTTCCTCAGAGTTGCAGTTTAAAAACTCTCGACCTCAGTGGAAATCAGATAGCAGGTCTATTTCCAAAATCTCTTGCCAACTGCTCAATGTTAGAGGTTCTAAACATGGGAAACAATCAGATAAAGGATATCTTTCCTCGCTTGTTGAAGAATATATCCTCCTTGCGTGTCCTTGTTTTGCGATCCAACCATTTTTATGGACAAATTGGATGTAACACAACCAGTGGTAACTGGCCAAATCTTCAAATTTTTGACATAGCTCACAACAATTTTAGTGGTGCAATACATGGAAGATGTTTGATGACCTCGTCAGCAATGATGGCTGACGAAGATGATGCCATGGGGAAGATTAATCACCTCCAATTTCAAGTTACGCAGTTCAGTCAGGTATATTATCAGGATACTATAACAGTTACCACCAAAGGTCTAGAGATGGAATTGGTAAAGATCTTAACAGTCTTCACCTCAATTGACTTCTCCTGCAACAAATTCAATGGATCAATACCTGAGGAAGTGGGAGAGCTCAAATCACTCCATGGCCTAAACTTGTCCAGTAATGCTTTCACAGGCACAATCCCATCATCACTAGGTAATCAACGACAACTCGAGTCCTTAGACCTTTCAAACAACAAATTGAGCGGACAAATTCCACAAGAGCTTGTCAAACTTAATTTCCTCTCGTTCCTGAATCTCTCAATAAATCAATTAGAGGGGAGGATTCCAACTGGCACTCAGATTCAATCTTTTTCAGCAGCTTCTTTCACATTCAACAAAGGATTGTGGGGGCCTCCTTTGACAGTTGATATCACCTCACAATTGCCACCACCACCACCACTAGAAAAAGGTCATTCTAATGCTCAACCTGAGATTGATTTTGATCTTATAAGTACTGAGATTGGATGTATCCTTGGCTTTGGAGCTGTCATTGGGCCACTCGTGTTCTGCAAGAGATGGCGGAAATGGTATTACAAAACTGTGGAGAACATCTTCTTTAAGGTATTTCCTCAGCTTGAAGAAAGAATCGGTCCTCACCGAAGACATGTTCACATAACTCAAGGGCCGAGACATTGAAATTATTATGAGGATTGAGAAGCAATGCAGCTAGCCTCCTTGTTATGATTGTGTTCTGTAAGAAATAAGATATTTTCTTCTGCTGTTATAAATTACAAGATGTAGTGTGAGCTTGTTCTGTTACTTTTTTATATTTTGATGTTGCAAACTTTTTTAGTAAAATGTGGATTAGAGTTGCCTGCATTTCATTCTTGTTTTTGAATGCCAGGATTATCAATGTTTTCAAACTGTATTTCAATCATTTTTCCAGTACAGGAATCAGCATTGCTCGCTATAAGATCGACATATTAGCGATTCAATTTTCGGAGTATGGAATTTGACACATAAAACACAAACCAAAAACAGAATTAAACAAAACTGGAAATGCAAGCGACATTGAATCAACATAGTTTTACTTAAATCACGCTTCATTTGACTCTGTTTTCACTTGTTTGGTTTTGGTTCTTAGCTTTCTTTCTTTCGTGGTTTCTCCTCTTGTCGGTTTTCTTCTGTTTGTTATCATGAACGTTTACTCTGTTTTAGCTTTGATTTTTCCGGATGAAAACTTGGTAGTCTTTGATACAACCAACGTAAGGTCACCACCGCATCAATACTATCTAAGCGGGGAAATTTCTTCGTTTTTCGGTGACTTGCAGCATGTTGAATCTCCACTTCTTTGTAGATTAGCTGTGAGCCTTTGGCATCTATGAAGTGAGTTGAAGAGCTTTACATAATGCTATCTAAACTATTTAAGAAACAAAATTCTTGCACTATAAGTGTATTCTCCTGTCCTGTGTATCGGAATCAGTCTGTCTCCTCACGCGAGAGTTAGGAGGGGTGTATGTGCAAGTTTTAGCCCGGTTGTAGGGGCGAAATGTCACCCTCTCTTCGACGTCAACAAGTTAAGGAAGCAACAAGTCTCGTAGAAACCTTCTCCACAAAGTTAAACCCACCATTAACTTACCATCACCAAAGTTTTCCTTAGCCTCTCAAAGAGGAATACAATGATAAACAAGTCAATCCCTTAATGCAATCTCATTTGTCCACAATATCAGAGTCTCGATCCAACTATACACATTAATGCATGCGAATTAGTAGCCAATGAACAAGTAAAATTACGAAAATGAAAAAGGAACTCTATGCATAAATGACTACATACCGTTGATTTTTCATTTGTGACAACTGCTGAAGATATTCCTAATACCCTAAGCCTAAGCTCTGTACTACGTTTTCTGTCCCATATCAGTAAGAGCTTCTGATGAAAACTCCTCCGCTTTCTGATGCTCATTTCCTACGCCTCACTCAGCTTCCATACATTTGTGGTCTCTAGGCAATGTCATCCCAGCGATCAACGATCATTGTTGTTGCAATTGAACAACAGCCTCGAATTTGACCCTATACAATCTAAAAAAATTGTGCAGTGGAATAATGGCTCAGATTACCGTTCTTGGGAAGGTGTCTCCTGCAAAGATGGTTGTGTTTCTCATCTTGACTTAAGCAGCGAGTCAATTTTAGGTGCACATATCAAGTGCTCTTTTCCATCTGCAGTACATCGAGGACCTAAATTTGGCTTACAATGACTTCAACTACACTCAGATTCCATCCGAGTTTGGGCAGCTAACTGGTTTGAGTAGTCTGAACTTGATGAATGCTGGCTTCATGGGGAAGGTTCCGATTGAGATTTTGTACTTCACAAGGTTGGTAACTCTTGATTTGCAAGAGAAGATCTTCCAGGTACCTACACTGCAGACTATTGATTTATCCATTATGCTTGGCTTGATCAAAGGTCAATAGCCATTATGCTTGGCTTGATCAAAGCCCTAGCTTTTCTGGTTTCAAATTTCCAATACCTAGCATATAAGAAACCTTCTGATCAAATCGACGAGCTGATCTTGTTCTCAGTAAGATACTAGTAAGAGATGCCCACGCGATGCTGTGGGATTGAACTGTATGTAATTTTGTGTATAGCACTATTTACATACAAAAATACTTGATCTGTATGGACATACTATTTTACGTGCAAAAGATTTGGTAGATAATCCTATTTACATACAAAAGAGAATGCTAGATGCATATGTATATAATATTTACATACAAAAGATTTACGAAATTGTCCTATTTACGTACAAAAGATGGTCGAAAGATTATGAATAGATGTTTATGGATATGACAAATGGTACAGCAGGAGTTGTTCATTCTTATTCATCCGGTTGCTGAGGTGCCTTTTTTTGTCTATGTAACCTTTTCTACCAAGTTGTTCAAATATAGACACAGCGTTTTCAATCAAGCGATCAGAACCAGTATTGTAAAGTGCCTAAAGACAGACTGCCTAAAAATTTATGTTTTGCATTTTGGTTTTAGAAAAATGAGATAGAATTTAAAACAAAAGAGAAAAAGAAAGTATGGAAATCTAATGGACTGTTAAAATTTGAAAAGTGTTGATACAAATTTGAAAAAATGGCAACTGTTAAAATAAAGCAGCAAAATGAAAATTTCAAATGGACTGGAAGTTAAAAAAGGAACTGTGCATTTATCAATCAGATTGATATAGGCATGTGATATGAAAGATTGGAGGATCTATATAGATGGTCAAAATTGTAGAAAGCGAACTAAAATGTTAACAGAATTTTTTGTTCTGAATTGAACTCCCTATTTTTTTGGTAGATTATTTCATCAACTAAATAGGAGGTATCAGTTAAACCATTCATAAAGGAATAGCATTGAGTAGTTGAACAATGTGAAGGATATGCAGCAAAATTCATCAGTATTCATTGATGAAAAAATTAACATCCTCATAGATGCATACCAAGCAACTGAAATGAAGAATCTGAATTGAATAAAGTACTGCATCATTTCCAATTGACTATGATAAAGAAATCTAGTGAACTATTTGAGTTTTAAGCGAAGGGGATAAAAAGATTATGTTTAATAGATGGTTAATAATTCAAAAAATATAGAACAATGAAAGGGTATACATACTCTGTTTTGCAGCCATAAATATGGTTTCAGAAATGCTGGGGAATCTGATACATTTCTGGCGGGAGCCTTTGGAGTAAGAGTTGTGTCTGATATTTCGTTTGCTGCAACATCACTAATAAAAAAGTAAACAGAGGAAAATAAAAGTGTTATCAAACATTAAGTAGTGTGGAATTTCGAACAGTGAAAAACCATGAACTTGATATGAACATTTGTGAGATGAATAAATTTGAGATGAAGATATATATATATATATATATATATATATATATATATACCGTATTTTGGGACACGTAAAAATTATTCCGGAATTGTTTGGGGTTGCTTTGGTTTTCGGAGAGATGATAGGGGCACCATCAAAATTTAAGTCAAAAGCTGACATGTTTTCTATGGAGCTTTTGTGTCATCACTGAGATGTAAAACAGGGAACAATTAAAGGCATTAGTGAACACTGAAAATGCGGAGATTAAAATTGAAGCCATTAGATAGATGTAAAATACACTCGCTTTTATACATAAGCAATAATGCCAACATGACACTATAGATGTAAAAAAAAAGGGCAATGCCATGATCTCTAGAAAATGATAATCGCATTTTTTCTGAAATTGCTCACCTTCCTTAATCTTTTCTAAAGAAGCAATGATTCGCATAATGTAACCAAATCAGAAAATAACAGATGATTACCCAAAACCCATCTCAGGTAAACTAATCCCAATCAAATTAAAAGACTGATGCATTCAAATTTCAAAGAGCAAACAAAATTAATAATAATAAAATTGAGAATTGAAAGCTCACGGACATTGAGATTGAACCTGTCCTTCCTTTTGGATCTCGTTATAAATAATGCGTCAACACAGTGAATACAATCTTTTCACTTGCACTCTCTGCATATCCTCAATAACTAAAAAGCAGCAGAAGCACAACATAACACTGAGCATTAAATCTAAACCCAACTAAGGAGATCAGGTAATCTGCTCAAACATACCAACTTAGGGTCCTTGGGCCACTTTAACTTTGCAAATAGACGACCTTCCATCCTTGCATTTGACAAAAATTTCCATGTCTCATAGTTTTCCCTAAAATTGGCAGCCAATAAAGTGATATAAGTAGAGGAGAATCAAGCAATGGAAACTCTACCCATACGCATATAACACATGTTTAACTGACCTCAGGTCCACAGAAAGGATGTCATGGTGCACAACGTCATAAAGATCTTGAACAGCCTTAACTGTACCTTTCTCCAGTTCAGGCATTCCCCCTTCTTTCTGTGCATTATATAAAACGAAGCAAAAAATTTGAGAAAAAAGAAATCGATATATCAGAACAAAGCACAAACAAATAACTATATGACAATATCAATTTTATGTAATTAGAAGAAAAGAAAACTCTGACATATAATTTAAATTTTAGAGAGCTGCCTAAATTTAAATTTTAGAGAGCTGCCTAAATTTAAATTTTACAGAGCTGCCTTCCAACAAGTGTTAGACAACTATCACTCGCCCAAACCGTGTTCAAGATTCCCTAGATGGCATTTAATACTTTCGGGCCAAAAGTATCAACCCATTTGAAGAAGAAAACCCTCACCTAATTTTCGTTTTATGTTCCTAAATGCAAAGGATTAGGTATAACATTTAAATGGATTGTCATATGCACACATGTAAAGACCTAAAAAAAATATTTGAAATTTAGAGTAGGATAAATTGCTTACCGATTGGTGGTGCGGCCGATTCATCAGATTCGGGTGAACTGGTGGTGGCAGTCATTTGGGTGAACACTGAACTGGTGGAGATTGATTTTTTGGAAAAAGGAGGTAATATATTTTTGTATGGTATAGTACTACCGTTAATTCTTTTCATAATTATTTTGGTAAACTTCTCATAATTTGAATGGTTTATAATGTTTGATTTTTCTATATTAGTTTATGCGGAGGAGAGTTTTGATATGGAAAACCTTACTGAAAACATTATCAACATAACTCTTGAAGGCAATAGATCAAGTCAAAGTTCTAACACAATTTCCCCATGATGATTGATGAAAATTGAAAGATTTTATAAAAGGAGTAACATGCAAGCTTTGAGTTTTATTGGTAAGGTTTTAACTTCTGAGAATTTTATTGGCAAGGTTTTAACTTCTGAGAAATGCTTCACAACCTTGAAAAAAAAAAACTCATTCATTTTGCATATCCTTGCACATTTGATATTTTGTAGTAGACTAGTAGTGTATTGACTTTTTAATTAGCCTCTCATTTTGGAGTGTAGATGTAATAATTAACGACAAATTTTTTTTTATGTTTTGAAGTAATATTTATGTGGCAATGCGGTATGTGCAAATTTAAGAATAAAAAAATTCTTAACAGATCAGGTCATTTTACCTGTTTGGTAAAGTGACCCGACCTATTAAGGACCCGTTAAGACAACGGGTGTGACACGACACGACTCGTTAAGATAATAGGTGTTACACGAAAACGATACGAAATACGACAAACATGACCCGTTTGCCAAGCCTAAATGGATGGTTGGGCCTTGGCCATTGGGCTGGCCATTCTTACCCAGCCAAGTAGGCCATTTGAGGGGCCCTCTTTTTTCTTTTTTTTTTGTTTCTTTTTTCAAGCCGAAATTTAAAAAAAAATGTTTAAAACTTCTTAACTTTTTTCCTATAAATACATAAGCTATTTTTTCATCATTTCTCGCGTTCTTTTCATTTTTTTGCTACGCTCACATCCTTTTCATAAACACCACTCCCTTACCTCTTCCAATAATCTAAACTTAAAATTTTCAATATTTTTTTAAATGACCACAATCTTCAACCAAATGATAAGAAATTTGGAGGCTTATTCATTTAGCGACAAGTGGCACTCAAAATATGTCCGGAAACCTTATTTAAATATAGCAATTTATTTTAATTAACCAATAAAATTAAAAAACAAATTAAAAATAATGAATTATTGAGGGAGCTAGAAAATAGCTTCCTTCAGTCAGAGATGATATATAAATATAGTCTGACATTGTTCACTAAAAAATAATTTTTTTATATGGCTATGATCTGGACGGGGACTAAACATAGCAATAATCAGACCATGTTTTTTTAATCAATTTTGTCAGACCATATTTTCTTGTAGGACTATAATCTACAAGAAATATTGAAAAATATAAAGATGATATATAAATATGGTCTGATTGAGGGGGCTAAACATCCACACATTCTAATTCAATTGAAAGATTAAGTTCTTTCAGAAAATAAAAAGTTCGTCAAGTGGAATAGAAGTAAGTTTCAATTAAATAAAATTTTATACTAGCAAATGATTTTTTAATTAAAACCTCACATACGTATAAAATACATATAAATCTCCCAAATGTTGGTAGTCATTACAACTTATAATATGTTAAGACTTACAATACGTGTATAGTAAGGCCTCTAAATAACCTATAATAAGTTGACATGCGTAAAATAATAAATTACTAATTAAAAGATACATGGTTGGTTCGGTTTAGTTTTGGTTGGTCTCAAAAGTATTAAAGTCAAACCAAATTAAAAATAAATTGGTTTGGTTCCAAGTTTTAAATTGTTTGGCTTTTTTCTTGGTCAAAACCAAACCAAACCGACAAATATGGTTCAAATCAGTCGGTTTGGTCAATTTGGTTGATTCGATGTCCACTTCTATCCAAAATAAATAGAAAACGAAGAAAATAATTTATATGAGAATATTAGGTTACGAACACATATTACATGCAAATAGTCTAGAAGGCCATGTTAGATGGTGTATTAGACAAATCAAAAATGTAGTAGAATTCTGTTTTTATACGTACCAGTGTTCGTGGTCTGTTAGTTTTTTTTTTTTTTTCTGTTCTCGAGGAGAAGGCGGGATTGACTCCCAGCAAAGAGCGGTACTGACCCATCTATTCTAGCAAACCAAGGGAGATTCAAGCAGCAAGAATAAGAGGGGATCTCGTCGATTCTGATTAACTTGCGGAAAACAGGGTTTCTTCTAAACATTTATTATTGTGCGGGCCATAAGCGCTGTTGCATATTTATATTCAACCGAATTTAATGTGGAATACAAGTTTTTATCTAAATCATAATCATATGAACTTTTTCTAACTATGAAATCCACATTTTTGCTAAATCCGTTAGGATCATTAGAACGCATGTAGATTTTTATCTCCATTTAAAAAATAAAAAAAATAAAAATAAAAATCATTGCTAACATCTTTAACGGTAGCCTACCTGGTTTTCTAACATGCTTAGTATCATGTCTAAATATGTTAGATGAATTCGCTTAAAATCATAGAGAAGAGGTAAAATTTGTGAATGTTTAAAAGATGCTACGAATTAGTCTAATTCCCTCGAATTGAAGAGATCTCGTAGTTCATTTTTAAGCATTCACAAATCTCACATTTTCTTCTGAGATTTGAAGAATTTCACTCAAAATTTTACATGAACATATCTAGAAATTAAACTCCATCAAAATCTATAAATTTAAACAAACCAATCAAGACTTCAAAATCAACATTAACCCATAAAAGCAATCTCACAATTCCACAATGTCATGGATAAATCCAATTATATCATTAGTATCCTCTCATGTGACAAATTTCACTTGCTTTGTAATACCTTAGAGGCTATTGTAAATTTGTGATTAGGGGTTGGTCAAGGGACTTACCTACACTCTTATTTGATCTTTTTACTTGATTTTACTGAATTATTCAATTCAATGATGGAAAATTTTAAAAAAGATAGTGATAGTATAATTAAAAATAATATATTTGTAAAGAGTAAGTTGAGTGTAATAAAAGATTATATGAGTTCAAATAAAAATGCATAGGCAGTGGCAGATCCAGACTTTTGATATTGGGTGGTCCCAATATTGGAGTTGAACAATTCGGTTAGATTGGAAACATCTGAAATTAGACTTGAACTATTCGGAATAACATTGTCCAAACTAATCGATAATAATTTTCACGTGTTATACTGTTTATACTTCTAATTTATACACATCAATTATTAAACAAAACATTATATCAGTTAATTAAACTAAAGTGTGTCTATATATAAACTAACCAACACATGATCAAATTAATATCAAAACAACATCAATTACAATCTATGATTATTATAATATATTAGGGATCTAAAATTTTCATTCAATACACATCAATTTTCATAGCATTTTATATAATTAATCTGGATTACGACTAAAAAATTTATTTAAACTTAGAAATTAGGACATTATAAAAAAAGAAGGAGAAATTAAGAAATTAGGTGGTGGTGGAGAGGAGAGAAGCGGAGCAGGTGATGGTGGCTTGGTTGGCGGAAGGAAAAAGGGAATTGGAATAGGAGGAAAAAGCGCATTGGGCTTATTGGGCATTGGGCATTGGGCATTAGGGGGTCCGTAAAGAAAATGGGAGGGGATTATATTTAAAAGAGAGAATCACGTGGCTATTAAAAAGAAGGGCACGTGTTTTTTTTAAATGCATTGGATCCAAACAAGTCGTTTAGGCCCATTCGCTTAAAAGCAGAATAGTTTCTTCTTTATTATCCATCTGCTGCAGCACAACGAGCAACCGCTGCTAATACCTCTCCTCCAACATGTTCGGGTGGTCCTCGAAGGTCATTACAGCTACTTCTTTGGACCTTCGTAGGGTCCTGGGACCACCAATGTCCCTGAATGGATCCACCTTTGTGTCTAGGAGATAAAAGGGGTGTGTAATTATCCTTTTCATATTCACTTATCACTATAAAAAGAAAATGAAAAAGAAAAAAAAAATAAAATAAAAAATAAAGAAGAGAAAAAGACCAAGACTTTGAAGTTTGGCTTAAAGCTGTGTTCTGCTTTAAAATTCTGGTTTTGGGAGTAAGCAAGTGCATGATGGAATGCAAATATCTATAAAATGAATATCCATCAATTTACACAGAAGCTTCATAACAATATGATCCGAAACTACATGGAAAGCTTTAGATTATTTATTGGGAACCCGAAGAGCACGGACTAGTGTGAATGTGACTTGTCATCTACGCTCGTCTTCCACTTGGCCATGCTTGTGTTTGTAGGGGTGAAATTTCTCGCTTTCTTCCCCACTTCCTTCTTTGTGTACCTTAAATCAATAGCCCTAGTCCCGCTAGAAAATGTGGAAAGATTTCAAAGTCAACAACGCACAAGTCGTTTGGAGCTGTAGCTATCCATCTGCAATTTTCAGTCTCAAACAGAAGAGAAATAGAGACAATAAAGATTGTAACAGCTGCAGGGCACAATGGGGCCTGATACCTTGAAAAGAAAATTAAAAATAGGAACGTCTTCCTTTTTGGTATAGAAAAGCTAATGCTTTGTTCCAATTGATTGACTAGTTAAATGAAATCATCACAACTCATCTAAACAGCAATAGGTTTCGTTTTGGAATGGTAACGGTTCGGTTTGACCGACGAAAATGCTACATCTATCTCCATAACTACAAAAATTAATTATATCCATAACCACAAATTAACCATTGAGAATTATTCATAACCATACTTACCGGGTAAAGAATTTCCTATCGATTAACAGTTATATCTATCTTCGTCAATATCAAAATATATTCATTTTTTTTTCCATAAAAAATATGATATAATATATATACATTGATGATATTGGCTAATATATATATATATATATATATATATATATATGGGAATCCTTTAATAAGAGGGATCCCCTTTTTTCTTTTTTCTTTTTTAAATGGGAACACGCTCTTGACCGTCAGATTGACTTTTAATGAAATTGTGTGGTTGAGATTGTGTAGCATGTGATTTAATCTCAACCACACAATTTCATTAAAGTTAATCTAACGGTTAGGAGGGTGTCCCTATTTTTTTAGAAAAATGGGGATCCCTCTTGTTAAAGGTTATATATATATATATATATATATATATATATATATATATATATATATATGATAGAATACTATATATTTTATACAAATTATATTATATATGTAATATGTATTATTCGGGACGGATTTAGGGATGGATATGGATCGACAACCACTATAATCATATCCGAAGCAATAACTGAATAATATTTTCCGTTTTTCCCCATATTCGAAATATAACCAAATTTTCATTCCCAAATCCGTTTCATTCGGACGGTTATCTACGATTATCCTGTTTAATGGTTTGAACTACCATCCCTAGTTTCGTGCAACTATAGGCTCAAACTAGTTTTCATCACTAACAGATGTTTAGAAACAAGAGACTTTATATTATCAATTGGCTTTATGATAGAATCATAACATTTCATGGTATCAAAGCAAATTGTCACATGTTTGAAACCCAACTGCCACATGTGCTCCACGTCACATGATTTATGTTGTTCACATGTTAAGTTGGAGAACTCACCACACATGAAGGATGCATTGATAGTATGAATCACTTGGAGGACACAAATCGGATGATTTGGATCATGTTAGCTGTTGAGCTTTGCACATAGAATAATTTGTTATGATACCATAAAGAAAATTGAAGTTCTACCGTAAAATCAATAGATAATATGAAGAATAACCCAATTACTCGTACCATATACAAGATCTTTTATTTTTTCAATGTAAAATTCATACCATCAAAAAAATCCATGCGTACACACAATGCAATGCTGGCCCTGCCCCCACTCTCCTTTCTCTAGTCCGTACATTTTCTGGTTAATGCAGAGAGGAGAAGAGAAGAAAAGACTTGATAAGTCAAGCCAACCACACATTTCAGCTTTTCCAATTCCATAAAATCATTAATATTAATGAAATATAAACGAAATTTTCCTCTTTTTTTTTTCACTTTCCCTGAACTTCTCACAAAGACTTAATATCCAAAAATGAAAACTTAGCTCCGATTTTTCGTCTTTCTTGATTGCTGAGTTAGCCCGGCTGCCACGTTGTTAATGCCAATATCCAACTTGACAGCAAGTATCACCAAGACATGAGGAAGAATAAATGGTTCAAATCATTGAAATTCAACGTGAAATAAACCCTCAAATAATCCCAATGAAATAAGAACTGTGATTTTTAGTGTAGGGTTTTCATTCAATTATGCCCTTCTAGTTGGTTTTGGAATATTTTGTTTTGTATTTCTCAGCTTGATTTGCAATAAATCTCCTTGTACCATCGAGGTTCTGTTGTGCGGAAACGTCAAATATAAAATTAATAAATTAATATGAAAAATATGACAAAATAAATAATTCAAAGGGATTGTATTTCTTTTATTTTATGTTATATTGTTGACTTTAATATGATTTGTATGAGTAGAAAAGGTAATTAGTGAACAAAGCGAGGAATTTGAGCCTTAAATTAGAGAAACACTAGTAATATGTTCACGCGTTGCTACGGGACTTGAATGCATTAGTCCTAACTACATGAAAAGACATATTTAACCTGGAAAAAATTCCACATAATCATGAATGAACAAAGAGATAGATGAGTGAACAATGTCAATAAAGAGACATTGTACAATTTACAAGACGAACTTTAACATTTCAGATCATAAAAGTCGTATGATTTGCACATAAATTAAGGTAACACAAATGATTCATTTTTTTTTTTCCTGCAAATCCCACATCAAGCAGTGGGTATACAAAAGCTCTTCTATTTGGCTTCACCCATTAGCCATCCACCAACTGAGGCACACACCATGCATATACAATGATTCATTTTCTTTTTAGCAAACAAAAAGAACATCACACGTTACATGTAATATGAGGTCCAACACCAACAAATATTTAATAGGAAATGTAACAGTTGTTCAAGTAAATTAAAGTGTTACGAATTAATTATCAAATAAAGTCATGATCAAGTCCCCCTCTTTAATTTTCTGATTTATTCTGTTTTTTTCTTTTCCCACGATGATGAGACGCTCTTGAATAAATCAGGGTGCACAAATTAGCTTAACATTAAAAAAAAGAACAAACTAACTCATATTAGGGCTGGGCACGGGCCGGGCCCAAATTTGGAAGAACCGGACCTACCCGTTTTTAAAATGTAACGGGCCGGGCCGGACCGGGTGTAGGGATTTTAAGTTTGGGAACCGGACCTAACCCGGCCCGTATCAAACGGGCCGGTTCGGGACGGGTCCACGGGTCCAATAACTTTTTTTTTTTTTTTAATCTGGTTATGGGCATACTAAGATTGAAGCAGAATGAGGTGTGGTTCCATCTCAACATCCAACATACTAAGATTGAAGCATGCGTTTCTAAATGCCATCTCAACATCCAACATATTACACAATTCCATAGCACACAACAATCCAAAAACAGATCAAACAGTTAGCAAATGTCTGAATTAATAATTTGACCATTAAACTAAACGAATCCGGTGATTTAATGCAAAGATGGACACATTTGTAGTACCTTCATCACATGAACAGTTTCATATCTGTAACAGAAACAAAATTTGATGCATCAGGATAATGTTCAAGGAAATGTAAATATTCCCCAAGAAAGCATATCAAAGAAAAGTGTAACAGAAATGTAAAATTTGGCACCTTTATTGTTCGTAATAGCAGGATGGCATCAACTTTCAATCCTGGCACAAAGCCAACAGTCAAAAGGATGTCATAGGTCACATCCTTTGCTGGTATAGAGCAATCTTCATCACTTCCATCACCACAAACCTCTCCCCACCTAACCTAAACAATCACATTTCATCTGAAATCAGTAAAGACTTGAACTTGCTGCAAATTAATAAACAAAAACATGGCATACACGAAAAACACAACCACGAAACCTCTTTGAATTCATGGGTAAGAGCATCTCTTCCAAAAATTCCACTTGAAGTAGAAATGATGAATGGAACACTGGACCCCAATTTTTTTTTATAACTGTAATTTCAAACAAACAACAAAAGAAAATCCGTAATTTGCTTCTCTTAATTAAAATGTATCTAAATTATATACTAATTAAGATTAAGGTGTTTATATGAGTAAGAACACATACATGCTTGCAAATGTCATACGAGACCCAGTTCCAATATTAGCCACAACCAAATGAAGCCGTATCGGCTCAGCGAGAACCTTCTCGATAACCTCCTTCAACCAAAATTCATCACTCCTTCAACCGCTAACTATCCCCACAATCTGCGAATCGATATCGCCGAGAATCTTCTTCACAGCGGCTAGATCCGCGCGCTGAGCCGCCAAGTGGAGCTCCGTGTCGTTGTGGCGCCCGGTGACCTGCTTCAAGTACTTCTTCTTCCCCGCCTGGTCCATCCGCTTTCCGGAGTTGGAAAGCACCAAAGCCGGCGCCGACGTCGTGGAAGACGGAGACGGCAACGGCGATGGCTCCGCCAGAGGGTTCTGGTTTGGCTGTTCAGTCATCGGACCCTTCTCTAAATCCCCATCACCTCCTACAAGTGAACACTGAAGTCGTGTCGTGTCGGAGAAGGTGGACGGAGGAGCGGCGCCGCGAATTTAAGAAAGGGTTGGAGTGTTGGAGAGATTGAGATTTGAGACTGAACACTGAAGTCTGAAACTGATTTGAAACCTAGGTTACAAATTAACGGTTCAGATTGAATGATAGGTTATCATTCAATCTCAACCGTTGATTATAATATGAAACGGGCCGGTCCGGGGCCCCGTTTTTCTAAGGTGTAGGAACCGGCCCGCCCCGTAAATAACCATGCCCCGGCCCGCCCCGCCCCGTTTGTTCCCAAAAAAAAAGGGATCCGGCCCGTACCCGCCCCGAACCTACACTACCCGCCCCTACCCGCAGTTCCTTTACCCGTTTGCCCACCCCTAACTCATATCATTTGATATGAAAAGCAGTTTATGTAGTGAAGGAGATTGAACACTCCCAATGATAATACGGAACACTCAAATACCCAACCAAATACCATTTCTGGGTTCTCTTTGTTTTCTCTCCCACCTATGCCTCTTGGTTCAAACATAATGCTCGGTGCCCAGATGGCAATCTGTGCAGGTTGATGAAGAGATCACTAAATGGTTTTAGCCAACAGATGGTTAACCATTTTGCTAAAAAATATTTTGCAGAAAGTGGACCATCTTTAACGGGACCGGCCTTGAGATTTTAGAGGTCATGTGTGAAAGTCAATTGAAGGCCCTAAAAAGTACCTAAGAATTTTTTTTTTTTTTGTTCAAAAAAATAATTTTAGTTTTCATTTGAGTTTCTTTAAATTCTAATAGCACAAACAAATTTAACAAATCAATAAGTGGAAATGTGGCGTATTGTTTTTCCTTAACTATTTAGAGGGTCAAGGTTCGAATTTTCATGTTATTATGTGGAATTTGTATATTATTTTGTGGAAGCTTATGCATTTAATAAAAATAAACTGAAAAAAAGATGGAGACAAGTTTCGAACCTATCACCTAGGCCAATGTAAACAAGTTGTAATACCACTTGCGCTTAAACTCAAGTTTATAAGATTCTACACATACTGCTATATATACGTATATACATGCAAATTTGAAAAATCGGGGGCCCTGTGCGGTGACACCACTTGCACCCCACCCCCTCAGGGCCGGCCTGATCTTTAACTTTAAAAGAGCATCTCTATCTTGCCTAGACATATTGCATCACCAATGGCTTGCTTCACATTCACAAAAATGAGCAGTGCCCATTGACACATGGGCAGACCTCAATGGTACCAACCGAATCACAACAATCGTCCAAAGGAAAACAAACAACGAAATGACTTCAATGAAAAGGTATAAAGTTATTCGATCATCAAATATTGCAACAAGCCAGAACAACACAATTGCAAAGTAGTGGGAAGGGAAGAGGGCGTACCTCTCTCTAAAAGGTTGGTTGTCTAATGAAATTTGTGCTATGTAATATTATCTCCTCTCTAAATATGTAATCAGTTGTCTGATATGATCTCTGAACTTAGGTAATCCAAATTGTTCAACAACAAATTGTTGTCCTTATCTTGCATGCAAAATTGTTGTCATTATCAGCAGTTATTATTGATGTAGAGTTCGTATATCAGTGGGTTGGCATTGTCTTAATTTGTCTGGAAGGTGAATTTCTGCTCTCCAGTTGACTAATTTTGATCATCCTTGGTCTCTTTGTACGCAATGGTCTATTTGTTTGGACCGCACTCAGAAGATGGCTTTCTATGCCTCTCACATATATCGCGAAGGATATGTGGTTGCGGACAATTTTGCTAATATAGGCTTGTCCTCTCCAACTTCAGTATGACTTGATTCCCCTCCGATGGCAATTGTTGCTACTTTGTTTTCAGACTATATTAACTTTCTTGGCTTCCGCTTCTCAAATTCATGTGCATCTCGACATATAGGTTCGTCTTACTTTCTTGATTTTTTCTTTAACCTTGTGATGTTGCTTGTTCTGTTTTGTAGGTTTGGACTTTTAGGTTTGGCTTAGGAGGGAGGGTTAGGTTTCATGTCCCACTCTTTTCCCTGTGTATCTTTGTTGATTTTGTTTCTAAAGGAGTAAGGTTTATGTCCCTCTTTCTCTTCATGTATTTGTTTTATCCTTTTTTCATGTATTATGAGGAGTTAGGTTTATGTGTGCACTCTTTTTTTTATATCAATAAAATTCTCCTTGTACTGTTAAGGTTTTCTTAAAATTAAAAATAAAATAAAAAATCTTTATGGTTTAGTCCATGGTCAACAGTCACCACAAACTGAGATTGTGAAAGCGACAATGCTGCCCCACTAGACAGATTGGGAAATAATTGCAAAATCAATTGAACAAGCAACCCACAAGTCTTGTGGAGGTATTTTTCCACGATATTAAAAAGCCACTAAATCAACTGTCTGTACTGCTACACTTTCTTGACTTTTGGTTTAACTTGGTCTCATTTGGTGGATTGAATTGTATAACGAGCTCATTTGGTGGATTAGATTGTACAACTCGCTACATTCAAAATATGTTGATGGATTAGATTGTATAACTCACTACATTCAAAGATATGTTGAGGGCAAGGGCGAATGATTTTTTCCGTTTGGTGCCTAAATCTTCAACATGCCTCGAAATTCATGAGTTATCCAATCCTATGAGCGTGGGGCGTGAGATTTTTGTGATCATCCTATTTTTCATAGTTGGCTCTCATGTCAGTCAATGGTGACATTAGTCAACAAAGATCTAAATGGAAATAGCAATCTTTGCAGCCCCATTTCCTCTTTCCTTCCTTCTCATTTTTCCAGAAAAGATGGGAGGAGACTTCTAAGTCAGATAATTCATAAATATAATGGTCTTGCTAGGTTCCTCAAAATTAAGCCACCACACCCATTAAAGTTTTTCAAAAAAAAAAAAAATGAGAAGTTTGCTGCACTTCTTCCTGTTCTTGATAATTATCAAGTTAGTTCACGGCCGGTGTGATGCAGATGACCTATCGGCATTGCTCCGCTTAAAGAAGATAAGCCCGCCACCAGAAGCTTTTGTTCCCCCCAAGCTTCTGTCATGGAATTCAAGTACCAACTGCTGTGCTTGGGACGGTGTTACTTGCAGTACTGACGGTCATGTCATCGGTCTTGACGTTAGCGGTGAATTTCTCGAAGGCAGGATTGACAATTCAAGCAGTCTCTTCGACCTTAAACATCTCCAAAGCCTCAATTTGTCCCGCAATTGCCAAGTAGGCAAAGGCTTTCCAATTCCACCTGCAATTGGAAAGCTCACGAATTTGAGGTACCTGAACTTATCTATCACTTGCTACACAGGGCAAGTTCCATTCGCGATTACACGCTTGACAAGGTTGGCTACTCTTGATCTTTCCAGAAATTATAATCCCGGATACACTCAGTTAAAACTCTATAATCCGGATTTAAGCACGCTGGTTCAGAGCCTCACGGAGCTTAGAGAGTTATATCTTGATGGTGTAACTGTATCAGCATGGGACACTGAATGGTGCCAAGCCATATCATCTTCACTCCCAAACCTGAGGGTGTTGAGCTTGTCAGCTTGCAATCTTTCAGGTCCTATTGATCAGTCCCTCGCTAAACTTCAATCATTATCGGTGATTCGATTGGATGACAATGATCTTCCTGTGCCACTTCCAGGAGTCTTTTCCAACTTCTCAAATTTGACATCCTTGAGTCTCCGTTCATGTTTGATGCGCGGAACATTTCCTGAAGAGCTCTTCCAGGTACCCACTCTACAAACTGTTGACCTTTCCGATAATCCACAACTTCATGGTTCCTTTCCAGAATTTCCCAGGAATAATTCTCTTCAGTCCTTGGTTCTAAGCAACACAAAGTTTTCAGGGATATTGCCAGATTCTATTGGCAATCTCAAAATGTTGTCGATGATAGATATTTCAGGTTGTAGTTTCTCTGGATCAATCCCAAAGTCGATTCAAAAACTCACACACTTGGTTCATTTGTATATGTCATCAAATAGGTTCAGTGGTCCTATTGATTCTATTCACTGGGAAAAACTTGTTAATCTGCTAAATATTGTTTTGGACTCGAATTTACTCAGTGGGAGTATTCCATCTTCGATTGTTTCTCCACCCTTTTTGGAGGAACTACTGCTTTCCCACAATCAATTCTCCGGTCAACTCCCTGAATTTTCAGATGTTTCCTCCTACTTAGTTAGCCTTGATCTAAGTTTCAATAATTTGGAAGGACTAGTACCCTTGTCTGTATATAATTTTCGAGGGCTTGAAATCCTTGATCTTTCTTCAAACAATTTCAGCGGCTTTCATTTTAACAGTCCTCAACAGTTGAGTAATCTTTCGGTCATTAATCTTTCGAACAATAGCTTGTTGGTTTTATACAATGGTACAACTTCCTCATATTCCCCATTTCCTCAAATTGTGAATTTGAACTTGGCTTCTAACAAGTTGAGAACATTCCCGGATTTCTTTAGAAATCACACTGGCTTAATTGTTTTGGACCTTTCACAAAACCAGATTCAAGGCACAATTCCTAATTGGATTTGGGGGCTCATTTCACTTAATAGTGTCAATCTTTCTTGCAACTCCTTCGTGACTCTAGAATTGCCATTAACTAATTCTTCCAGCGTGTCTGAGCTTGACCTTCACTCAAATCAACTTCAGGGACAAATCCCAGTTTTCCTACCCTATGCCGGTTATCTAGATTACTCAAGAAATCATTTCAGCTCAAATATACCAACTGACATTGGTAATTTCCTTAGCATGACTAGGTTCTTGTCTCTTTCAAATAATAACTTGCATGGGATCATTCCAGTTTCCATATGCAATGCAAGTTTGGAGTTTCTTGATATGTCCGATAACTCTTTGAGTGGCATGATTCCTCAATGTTTGACCGCAATGAGCAGTCGAGTACTTAGTTTAAGGAGAAACAACCTTACCGGAACAATTCCTGGTGGAGTTCTTGAATACTGTCGTTTCAGGATTCTAGACCTTGGTGAAAATCAAATAGAAGGTCAAGTTCCAAAATCTCTAGCCAACTGCACAGAACTAGAGATTCTAAACCTTGGAATCAATCAGATGATGGATACTTTTCCATGCTTTTTGAAAAACATCTCCACCTTGCGCATTATGCTTTTGCGATCCAATAATTTATATGGAGGGATTGGTTGTTCAGAGACCAATGGCACCTGGCCAAAGCTTCAAATCATAGACCTAGCTCACAACAATTTCAGTGGTGGAATACCAGCAATATCTTTGACAACATGGCAAGCAATGATGGCTAACAAAGATGATTCCCGATCAAAGGCTAGGGCTCTAGAATTTCCAAATGATCCAGGGAGAGCTGTGGTTGAATTTGATTATTATGCTGCAATAACAGTTGTTGGGAAAGGTTTGGAGATGGATCTGCAAAAGATTTTGACCATCTTCACCTTGATTGACTTCTCCGGTAACAAATTCAGCGGATCGATACCTAAGGAATTGGGTGACCTCAAATCCTTGTATGTCCTCAACTTGTCAAGTAATGCTTTCACCGGTGAAATCCCATCATCCTTGGGTAACTTGCGAAAGCTGGAGTCCTTAGACCTATCAAGGAACAAGCTAAGCGGGCAAATTCCACCAGAGTTTGCAAAGCTCAACTTCCTTTCGTTCTTGAATCTTTCAAATAATCAACTGGTCGGCAGGATCCCAACAAGTACTCAGTTTACGACATTTCCCAAAGCCTCCTTCACTGGAAACAAAGGATTATGGGGGCCTCCTTTGACAGTGGATAACAAAGCAGGATCACCACCACCACCAACATTAAATGGAAGTCAGCAAAATTCTGGAGATGAGATTGATTGGGATCTTATCAGTGTCGAAATTGGATTTGTATTTGGCTTTGGAATTGTAGTCGGGTCACTTGTGTTATGCAAGAAATGGAGTAAATGGTATTACAGAGCTATGTATAAAATCCTTGTTAAGATATTCCCTCAGCTTGAAGAAAGAATCAATCCTCACCGAAGACATGTTCACATAACTCAAAGGCCGAGAAATTGAAATTGTTATGAGGAGCAATGTAGCTGGCCTCCTTGTTATGATTGTGTTCTGTAAGAAATAAGATATTTGCTTCTGCTGTCACATAATTATAAATTACGAGATGTAGTGTGAGCTTGTTCTGTTACTTTTTGATATTTTGATGTTGCAAACTTTATTTGTAAAAGGTGGATTAGAGTTGCCTGCATTTCATTCTTGTTTTTGAATGCCAGGACTATCAATGTTTTCAACCTGTTTTCAATCATCCTTCCAGTACAGGAATCAACGTTGTTCGCTATAAGGTCTACATATTTGCGATTAAATTTTCGAAGTATGGAATTTGACACATAAAACACAAACCAAAAACAGAATTAAACAAAATTGGTGATGCAAGCGACATTGAATCAATATAGTTTTACTTAAATCGCGCTTCATTTGACTCTGTTTTCACTTGTTTGGTTTTGGTTCTTAGCTTTCTTTCTTTCGTGGTTTCTCCTCTTGTTCGTATTCTTCTGTTTGTTTGTTATCATGAACGTTCACTCTGTTTTAGCTTTGATTTTTCCGGGTGAAGACTTCGTAGCCTTTGATGCAACGTAAGGCCGCCACCGCATCAATACTAGCTAAGCGGGGAAATTTCTTCATATTTCGGTGACTTACAGCATGTTGAATCTCCACTTCTTTCTGGATTAGCTGTGAGCCCTTGGCATCTATGAGGTGAGTTGAAGAGCTTTACATAAAGCTATCTAAACTATTTAAGAATCAGTCTGTCTCCTCACGCGAGAGTTAGAAGGGGTTTACGGGCGAAATGTCACCCTCTCCAGCTGCCTGCGTAATTCATCACCTTAATCAATAATCTATGGACATCGAATAAAACAGCTTACTTGTAGCAGATTGTAAACCCCACTAGGAAAATGGGGTATGACTTCGACGTCGACAAGTCAAGCAAGCAACAAGTCTCGTAGAAACCTTCTCCACAAAGTTAAACCCAACCCACCATATACCTTACCATCACCACAGTTTTCTTAGCCTCTTAAAGAGGAATACAATGATAAACAAGTCAATCCCTTAATGCAATCTCATTTGTCCACAATATTACAGTCTCAATCCAACTATACACATTAATGCATGCGAATTAGTAGCCAATGAACAAGTAAAACTACGAAAATGAAAAAGGAAATCTATGCATAAATGACTATGTACCGTTGATTTTTCATTTGTGACAACTGCTGAAGACATTCCTAATACCCGAGCCTACACTCTCTACTACATTTTCTGTCCCATAGCAGCAAGAGCTTCCGATGAAAACTCCTCCGTTTTCATGGCTTTTCTTGATGCTCATTTCCTATGCCTCACTCAGCGTCCATACATTTGTGGTCTCTAGCCAATGTCATCCCAGAGATCAACGATCATTGTTGTTGCAATTGAACAACAGCCTCGAATTTGACCCTGCACAATCTAAAAACCTCGTGCAGTGGAATAATGGCTCAGATTACTGTTCTTGGGAAGGTGTCTCCTGCAAAGATGGTTGTGTTTCTCATCTAGACTTAAGCAGCGAGTCAATTTCCGGTGGACTTTATCAAGTGCTCTTTTCCATCTGCAGTACATCGAGGACCTAAATTTGGCTTACAATGACTTCAACTGCACTCAGATTCCATCCGAGTATGGGCAGCTAACTGATTTGAGTAGTCTGAACTTGATGAATGCTGGCTAAGCGGGGCAGGTTCTGATTGAGATTTCGTACTTGACAAGGTTGGTAACTCTTGATTTGCAAGAGAGGATCTTCCAGGTACCTACACTGCAGACCATTGATTTATCAGGCAATCAACATCTTCAGGGTTCCTTACCAGAATTTCCGAAGAATGCATCTCTTCGGTCCTTGGTTCTAAGCGGGGCTAACTTTTCAGGGTTACTACCGAACTCTATTGGCAACCTCAAAATGTTGTTCAAGATAGATATTTCGAGTTGCAATTTCACTGGATCAATCCCAAGGTCAATAGCCATTATGCTTGGCTTGATCAAAACCCTAGCTTTTCTGGTTTCAAATTTCCAATACCTAGCAAATAAGAAGCCGTCTGATCAAATCGACGAGCTGATCTTGTTCTTAGTAAGATATATACATGATAAAGTTTCAGAATACATTAGCTTGCAGCTGACTTACTCGATTTGTCGAATATTGTCATGTAATCTTAATGTTTGTGAAGTGAGCTTGTTCAAACCAAAATATTTGCGTCTTTCCATAAGTTTTCATTTTTATGAAGTTTGAATGAATGTGAAGCTTCAACTTCTACCAAATTTATTTCAATTTTGATCTTATTTATTGGCATAACTGATTGTTTTATAACGTAAAATCATAATTTAAAACTTAATACTTTATCGCCATCAGATTGGTTAATCGCTTCACCAGCCATAATCTAATAATTAAAACCTAAAATCAAAGCACTAAAGACGATTACCCCTCGTAACTAACCGGATCAAAATTGAAGAAAATTGTACAGTTTAGAGTGGACTTGTAGATGAGTGAGCTAACTGGTAAGTTGAAATTTCAAGTCCGTTGTTACTTGGTGGTGACAACATATCTACCTTTGCCTAACGGGCAGGAAGACTCAGGCTGTCCTAGTCTAGGGGAAACCGGGGCAGTTGGGGTAGGACACACCGCATCGCATGGGACCCCTTTGACAGTTTTAGGCAGAATATTTAACCCAACTACAAAGACTCAAAGAATGGGGGACCACGTATATCAAACGACTCCCTTTAATCCTTTTTACTTGCTAAACTGGTATGAAACTCCAATCATTAATCTTATTTATTGATTTTTAGACGCGTATTTAGGTGTAAACACGAGTCCGGGAATGTTTAGGATTACTTCTGAGTGTGTTTGGTAGAAAATCGAGCAATGAGATTGCGATGATATAACGTCATTTCTTTAAAGCTGCATATACTAACCTAAAAAAGAAAATATGGGAAGAATAGACCGCCTCCATTGGCCCTCCAAGTCTCCTAACCACCAAACCACCCGTCGAGATGCATTTGCCAACATACACAATCTAACAATCATTGCAGCTACAGCAATCATCCATAAATGAGAAAATTTTTCTTGGGATTTTTATTGTGTAATTTGAGTAGCTAAAAGAGGACTACAACAGACAAATATAGTGAAAGAATAATTAAGGGCAAGCTGATTGTATGATTAAAGAAATCTCAAACCTTGCATAAAAAAATCAAAGCGAAAACCAGAGAAGCGTGAGGATAGGAACAGATTGATACCTTACCGGACGATGGGGGTAGCCCAAGTTGACTGAAATCGACGAAACCTTGCTCGACCTCTCTCTCTCTGTCCACATGAGAAAACAACATCACCCAAAAGGTTAGAGATTTCCAAAACCAAAAGGAAATTAAGAGAGAGAAACGGAGGAGAGAGAGATCGGAGTCACGTTAGTTAAAGCGTGGACGGCGTTGGTTCTCCGACCACTGTAATCCCTGAAGATCTCTTCCGCCCGCCGACTCGAACCCATCTCCCTGCTCTTCTCCTTCATCTCATCGAAGCTGTCGAGTTACAGAAATGAAGCCGAGTTTGTGTGGTTTTGGTTTTAGGAAGCAGGTGCCGATGCTATTCCAGATATGGTGTTGTGGCTGCTAGGGTTTGAGTAAGTGGAAACGAAGCCAGAAAGTTGGCTAAAAGGATCTGAGTGGTAATCTTGTAAATAAACTGAAATGTCGTCCAAAACACTGTTCATTTCTACAGTGCGATTTCGCCTCCTTCTTTAGGCTAAAGTAATTTTGGGGATAAAAAAAATTTCAACTTGTTTCTTACCAAAACAGTCTCTGATCCCACCTTATATGCAAATCAAAATATCACATAGTTATGTGTTTCTTGTCGAAAGTATTAAAAGTGCTTTTATTTTTCAAATGAGTCCTAATTCATATGACCAAAAAAAAAAAAAAAAAAATTAAAGCATTGTATGCAGATATCAAACTATGATTAGTCTTCAAGAAGGAATAGGTCCTTCCACATAAGGAGCAAAGTTTTTTGTGCAATTCCTTGAGACGGGGTTTTTATTTTTTTTTTTGGTTTTTTTTCCTTAATCAATATATAGTTTTTTAAGAAAGCTAACGTTGTACCATAAAATTATTTAGTGATATAAGAAGTAACTCAATTACTTATAAACACACATACAAGGTCCATTATTTCTTGGGAGTTTTAACGAAAAGCTCACGGTATTGTTCACTTTAACAAAAAATCACATTTTTACACTAAAAATTTAAACCTGGTGCTATTTACTTTAATCTTTATTTTATCATTTTCGTTAAAACTCAAAGTTTTCAAGTTCTTTTTATTAGTTTTCCTTTATTTCTTCTGTGTGAGATTCATACCCTCAACAATTTTCCTATTCCTATTATGAGATTTTGAAAATACCAAATTATACAATCAAATATTAGATTCATACTCTCAACGGTTTAGTGACAAAATTGCATGACTTTCGCTCTTTCCAACAACGACACTGAAACCAGCTTTAAAATCGTCCATAATTACAAGAACAAATAAATAATTTATCCATCTCTTCCAAGAATTGACATCCAATTCGCCATGGCCCACTTGTCAATGACTTCACACTTCCTAAATTATTTAATCCGTCGGGTGCCGAAATCAACACTTCTGACCAAGAAAATGATGCATTCCAAATTAGAAATTCCCACGTTCATCGATTAACGCGCAAAGCATAAAAAAAATGAAGATATGTTGTATAAAATAACGTATGTATATACTTTTCAGCAATATGATTCAGGGTAGCATATTACATTTTTTTAGTTTAGCCCTAAAGTACTGTTGTTGAAACATGCAAACGAATCCTACTGAACTTTAAAAATCTAATAGCCACAGCAGGATGGATCGGGATCGAATTGCAGTCTCGTATTTTATATGGTTTGTTTGATTCTTAATGCTGGCAAATCACACGATGATAGCTAGAAAAAAGATTAAATTCTTCTATGAAACATGCAAACGAATCCTACCTAAAATACTGTTGTTGAAACATGCAAACGAATCCTACTTAACTTTAAAAATCTAGTAACCACAACGGGATGGCTTGGGGTCGAATTTCAATCTCGTATTTCATATGGTTTGTTCGATTTTTTATGCTGGCAAATCACACGATGATAGCTAGAAAAAAGCTAAAATTCTTCTATGAGTCTTTTCTATCTCCAAAATGATGGAATGTCGTTGCCAAGCTACCAGCTAGTTTATTTTTTTATTAAAAAAAACTTAAAAAATCTAATTATTTAATGATGATGACGGTCTGGTTTTGTAACAACTACGATTACAAGAATTGATTAATATTTGAGACAGCCACAGTTAGCCGGAATTGAAGACTGATTCTTTTAATTATTCTACAATGCTATATTATTGTTAACATTTGTTAATGGGTAATACATGAGATTCTATGATTATGTTTCCCAGAATTATTTAAACTTTAAAATGCAAGCCAAAAGACTTTTAAAGTAAAAAATCAATTAGCTTTTGATCTATAGTAGTAGTCTTCACTTGATTTCATGAGGGTTCGACTAACTTGTAATGAGTTTGATACCCGATTGTTATGTAATTTGTTGCGCATGTGTTGGTTAATGACATACCTGATTATTATGTAATTTGTTGCGTATGCGTTGGTCCATTGTCATTAAGAAATTTTCTCTGCATCAATAAAACAATCCTTTCAGTTTTATGTATCAAATTTTGGGCCAATTATAGTGATTCATCTTTTTTTTTTTTTTTGAACAAATAATATTATATACACGAGGGAGATGAGATGGGTTTAACCTTATAATGAACTAATAATAATATGATTCAAATTCGCTTTTATCGAGAATCAAATCTAAGACCTCTTATTTACAAGTGAAAATGAATACGGCTAGACCGTAGTACTAAGTGACCAAGTGATTCACCTTAAACTAAATGAGGCGATGGCTGATAATTGGATTATTACATAAATGTTAATCAACATGCTTATTTTATATTATTAACACATCATTTAGTTTGCAAATTAAAAATTTAGTTTCCCCAATCCTTCCCAGCTTGACTACAAGTGAGCTTCTCCTAACGCGGAGATAAGACGTCATACACAGAACCCCACCATTGTAATAATATCTCCATAAACTTTTTATTTTTCCAATAAAAAGAATTAAAAGTATCCAAAATCTTCAAACGCATTGTGCATGCCACTAAAAAATTTGGATCAAGAAAGGGAATGGTTATTTTTCCAATATATAAAACAAGAAAGTCAACAACCAATCTGCGAAGAGACGAACACCATTTGGGAGCTTTGAATATTCCATGTTTGCAACTTGCCGCAAGTTATCTAAGGCCGCCCAGAAATCTTTGCTGCTACAATTGAAGAACAGCCTCACATTTCACCCTGCAACGTCTAAGAAACTTGTCACGTGGAACAATGGCTCAGATCACTGCTCTTGGGAAGGAGTGTCCTGCAAAAAGGGTTGTGTTTCGAGTCTGGACTTGAGCAGCAAGGAACTTACTGCTGGACTTGATAATTCGAGTTCTCTCTTCGATCTCAAGTCAATCGAGTACCTGAATTTGGCAATGTAAAAGGGATAAAAAGATTATGTTTAATAGATAGTTAATAATTCAAAAAATATAGAACAATGAAAGGGTATACATACTCTGTTTTGCAGCCATAAATATGGTTTCAGAAATGCTTGGGGAATCTAATACATTTCTGGCGGGAGCCTTTGGAGTAAGAGTTGTGTCTGATATTTCGTTTGCTGCAACATCACTAATAAAAAAGTAAACAGAGGAAAATAAAAGTGTTATCAAAACATTAAGTAGTGTGGAATTTCGAACAATGAAAAACCATGAACTTGATATGAACATTTGTGAGATGAATAAATTTGAGATGAAGATATATATATATATATATATATAGTATTTTGGGACACGTAAAAATGATTCCGGAATTGTTTGGGGTTGCTTTGGTTTTCGGAGAGATGATAGGGGCACCATCAAAATTTGAGTCAAAAGCTGACACGTTTTCTATGGAGCTTTTGTATCATCACTGAGATGTAAAACAGAGGACAATTAAAGGCATTAGTGAACACTAAAAATGCGGAGATTAAAATTGAAGGCATTAGATAGATGTTAAATACGCTCGCTTTTATACGTAAGCAATAATGCACACTATAGATGTAAAAATAATAATAATAATAATAATAATGTCAAAACCCACTTCCATGCCAGGTCAGAATTTTACAACCACCAAAAAATACAGGAAGGGCAATGCCATGATCTCTAGAAAATGATAATCGCATTTTGTCTGAAATTGCTCACCTCCCTTAATCTTTTCTAAAGAAGCAATGATTCGCACAATGTAACCAAATCAGAAAATAACAGATGATTACCCAAAACCCATCTCAGGAAAACTAATCCCAATAAAATTAAAAGACTGATGCATTCAAATTTCAAAGAGCAAACAAAATTAATAATAATAAAAATGAGAATTGAAAGCTCACAGACCTTGAGATTGAACCTGTCCTTCCTTTTGGATCTCTCGTTATAAATAATGCATCAACACAGTGAATACAATCTTTTCACTTGCACTCTCTGCATATCCTCAATAACTAAAAAGCAGCAGAAGCACAACATAATACTGAGCATTAAATCTAAACCCAACTAAGGAGATCAGGTAATCTGCTCAAACATACCAACTTAGGGTCCTTGGGCCACTTTAACTTTGCAAATAGACGACCTTCCGTCCTTGCATTTGACAAAAATTTCCATGTCTCATAGTTTTCCCTAAAATTGGCAGCCAATAAAGTGATATAAGTAGAGGAGAATCAAGCAATGGAAACTCTACCCATACGCATATAACACATGTTTAACTGACCTCGGGTCCATAGAAAGGATGTCATGGACAACTTCATAAAGATCTTGAACAGCCTAACTGTACCTTTCTCCAGTTCAGGCGTTCCCCCTTCTTTCTGTGCATTATATAAAACGAAGCAAAAAATTTGAGAAAAAAGAAATCGATATATCAGAACAAAGCACAAACAAATAGCTATATGACAATATCAATTTTATGTAATTAGAAGAAAAGAAAACTCTGAAATATAATTTAAATTTTAGAGAGCTGCCTTCCAAGTGTTAGACAACTATCACTTGGCCAAACCGTGTTCAAGATTCCCTAGAAGGCATTTAATACTTTCAGGCCAAAAGTATCAACCCATTTGAAGAAGAAAACCCTCACCTAATTTCCGTTTTATGTTCCTAAATGCAAAGGATTAGGTATAACATTTAGATGAATTGTCATATGCACACATGTACAGACCTAAAAAGAAATATTTGAAATTTAGAGTAGGATAAATTGCTTACCTATTGGTGGTGCGGCGCGATTCATCAGATTCGGGTGAACTGGTGGTGGCAGTCGTTTGGGTGAACAGTGAACTGGTTGAGAAGCACTTGATAAGACCTACAAAATTGAATAACAACGAGAAATTAAATCCAATGAATTCAAAGATAGAAGAAACTAAACAACAGGATAAGAAACAATTGTACCTTCTTTACAATCATGTTCACAGTTTTGTTTTGCTTTAATCCAACTGCAAGGGCCAATAAGTTGTTGATGGCTTTGAGTTCTAAAATAAAACGAATGCTATCAACAGTCAAATTAGATTGCTTACAACCCTAATCACCAAATTCTTCAACCCTAATCATCGCACAAAAATCATAAATAAAAAAATCCAAAACATCAGCAGAGATAACGAAAATGATAAAAACTCTAAAAATATTTAAACAAAATTTTAAAACTTTAACTCACAGGAAGCTCTGTAACCAGTTGCACTGGCCACCCAGTTCACAATTGTGAAGTCTGAAGAGAACCCAAAACTTGAATACTGGAATCTTGAGTTTTCTCAGACGATGGCAGATTTTCCATAGCTGATTTCAGTAACCCAAAATCAATTTAAAAATGTAAATAGATTTAAATTCCAAATTGGGCATGAAATTACTTGCCTTGAGTAGGGAGGTTTTACAAAACGCCACCTTTGGAGAGCCAGCCTTTGAGCGTCTGCGGCGCGCCTGGTGGTGGCGGTGCGAGACACAGAGAGAGAGAGTTTGAGAAGCAGCGATCAATTTTTTGGATCAGAGAAACGGAATGAAGCACAAGACTCGAGAAGAGGCATCTTCAACGATGATGGACGCTCTACAAACAAAATCCCCAAAATCACAAAAAATGAAAGTTGAACACAAAATCCATTTGTAAATCCAAAATCACAAAAAAGAAATTCAAACAAAATAAAACCCCCAGATGATATCGACATTGTTCTGATAACAACAGAAAACCCAAGATCGAGAAAGCCGCAAATCTTACCAGGAAACGGGAGCTTTTCTGGGTAGAATTTTCTTCGAATCAACCTCAAAACCAGAAGAAAATTCTACTGTTGATTGGTTCTTCACCAAGAAACTTCTACCGGTTCGCTGGTAGCTTGTGAGAAAAAGAACGCAAGGATTCAGTGTGAGAGAAGCCGAGCTTCAGAGCGACAGAAGCCGAGTTCGATAAAGTTTCAGAATACATTAGTTCGATAAAGTTGTCAATAGGTGCCTTGAAACCTATTTGAGGTGCTTTACTAGTTTTCAACTCAAGAAGTGGCTCCAATGGCTTCCGTGGGCTGAATGGAGCTATAACACCTACTTTCACACTGCCTCCAAGTTCACTCCATTGGAAATTGTGTAAGGTTTCCCTCCTCCACACATTGCATCTTATGAACTTGGTTCGGCTAAACTGGAGAGTGTAGAACAAGGCTTGATTGCTAGAGACAGAATGTTGAAAGTGCTTAAAACTAATTTGGTCATCGCGCAAAATAGGATGAAAGTGCAAGCAGATAAACACAGAAGTGAGAGAACTTTTGAGGTGGGAGATTTGGTTTATTTGAAGCTCATTCCCTACCAGCTGCAGTCACTCACAACTCATGTCTATCACAAGCTGCACCCTAAGTTTTATGGTCATTTTGAAGTGTTGGAAAAAGTTGGAGAGGTAGCCTACAAGTTAAAACTCCCTGAGACCTCTAAGATACACCCAGTTTTCCATGTCAGTGGCTTGAAGAAATATATTGGTCCTGATGTTAACCCAGTGCCATTGTTACCATTGGTCACTGATGATGGGTTACAAGTTCAAGAGCCTTTGAGTGTGCTACAGAGGAGGGTGTATAAGAAGAACAATGTTGTTGGGGTGCAATTGCTTATTCACTGGAAGGACAAGGACGTTGAAGAATCAACCTGGGAGGATTATGATGAGTTCACTGCAAGATTTCCAAAATTCAAGTTCTAGCTGCAACCTTGAGGACAAGGTTTAATTGAAGGAAAGGGCAATGTTATAGTTGTGATTATCTTATTCACAAGTTTAGTTATTAAATAAGTATTTTTGATTAGTTATGCCAGTTGGCTTGTAGTGTTGGAAAAACAATATATGTAACCAATCATGGAGAAAAATATATTCAAGAAAAATATTGATAGATATCTCTTCTCTTCTCTATCTCTTTCCATAGCTTTCGCCATTGTTGTGCTGCTTGCAGGTTAAGTTGGAGATCTGAGATTTGGTGCATATCAGATGGACGGAGGAGAGCTTGAGGAAGGAGGTGTGGGGATGAGATTGACGGAAAGCGGTTGGGGTGCCTTGGTTTGGTATGGAAGCAAGGAAGAAGATGGGTGTTTGGATGTGGGTTGAATATAAAGTTGGGTGTTTGGTTAACAAGATAACAAGTATTCGCGAAGAGTTTTAAATGACATGTGTTTTAATATTACTAGGCCATGTCATTGGGTCAGTATTTTGGGTACTGAATAGTTAGTACCCAAGTATTGTCTGGACTGACTAGAATTATTCCACTGCTTCCTCTTTTTTTTTTTTTTTTTTTTTTTTTTTTTTTTTTTTCAGAAAAGCTAATGCTTTGTTCTAACAGACTTCCTAGTTAAATGAAATCATCACAACTCATCTAAATAGCAATAGATTTCGTGTAGGGATGGCAACAGTTCGGTTTGACCGACAAAAATGCTACATCCTGTCACGCCCCAATCCCGACATACGTCCAGAATTGACACGTGGCGTCAACAAAAATCCGTATCTATCATATCCCACCTCCGGGATATGGCCAAGCACAACCCAATAATCGAACCACATAGTTATTTTCGTATGCTTTATGGCTGCATCTAACCTTCCCGTTAGACTGCCTACGTACCCTAAACAGGGATCAAGCCATTCGTAGTTCGTCATGCACAATAATTGACATATAATACAGTCCAATTAAGTCGAAAGGTATAATGTTTTTCAATCAATAGAACTCGACAAGCATGAAATTACTTGACTCAGGGTTACATAACAACCCATCTGAAAATCATGATTTCCCCTCCATCAATATATAGGCAATTATGTCACAACATGATACCGCAATTCACAACACATATCATTTCAAAGAACAACGATGTACAATACCATTCTCGAGCCAAATTTATCAACAAGTCTAATCATCACAATAACAATGATATCCAACATAACAATCCCACATGACGATTAACATTTCCACTTTATCCATCACATAACTCATCACGTTTCCCACATAAATTCGCGTTTCATAGCGTGTAACATATTTAAGAATTAACAAAGTATATATTATTCTTTAGAAATATTAATCAACTAAAATACTCATGATAACTCCACTCACATCCAATGTCATTCCATAATCACATCAATCAATAACACATACCATAAGTCGAACGCAAGGCTAGAGCAACACAATTCAGTTGAAGACTACATCTTTGGAAAAGGGGATTTTGGACCACCCATCAGACCAAGGCTCCAAAGGGGATTCCGGACCATCGCTCAACGGAATCCAAATAGAACTCAGTTCCAATCCACCTAACCGAATTGAACGGAAGTCCAAGAAACATAACAACGGCTCGAAGGAACAAGACATGATTCAAGTTACCCAATTCACAAAACTCAACGAAACGAAGCAATATTGAGCAAAAAACCACATCACAATGGGTCATCGGTCATTTACTAGACCTCATTTCTCCCAAGCAATTCAATATGCGTTTCAATCACATGTCACAACCATTTCCCATACACAAGTCAAATCACATTTTACTTCATCATGCTAATCACTATACTTCCAACATTATATTTCAATATATAGCTTATAACATATCACGGAATCACGAAGTACAATATTAACATTTAATTACGTTAATCAATCAGTGAGATGACCTATCATTTCACGAATTTAATTAAAGAACTCTACATAATTCCCAACTTGGGTTAAAAATAATAACATGGTAATTCTAATTTATTTTCACAATATCTATTGTGGGTAATTCCCATCTACCCGAATTTAGGATTCTAAATCACCTTACAGAATGAACAAGAGCAAGGGTTCCGGACCACTCAACGGAACCAAAATATCAAGCGGTTTCTCATAATCCACCCAAACCTGTCATATGTAAAGTCAATGCCCATATTATGGAATTGGTGCACTGGTAATTCAGGCACTCAGATAAGCTGAGAGACTCGGTTGAGGGACAATAAAATAAGCATGTGATACAATAATAAAACCAGCCATCAATCATAGTTTATAAACCTTGAATATAAATCTTTCATAGGAAATCAATACCAAACTTTTGAAAACTCCGAGGGAGGCACCCAGACATCCAAAAGTTCATTTCAAACGACCATAACATCTCACACCCATATTCACATACACACAATGAAAGTAGAATTAGGCGACACTGTTCATCCAAAACTTACACTTTGCAACCATCTCAAACTAAACTCCATGAACTAAGGTGGATGCAATCCCGGACCATCACTCAACGGGATCGCGGAGTAAGAGGGATTCCGGACCATCACTCAACGGAACCCAAACCAAGATACGATTCCGGACCGTCACTCAACGGAATCGCGGAGTGGAATAGGAAGGATTCCGGACCATCACTCAACGAAATCGCGGAGTAGAATGTGTAACACCAATCGATAAAACAAGACATGGATCAAGTTACTCAAGGTACAAAGACTCAATGAAACGAGAATGAATAATGACACGAGGGTTGAAACATGTTTCGAAGCAACGAACCCCATAACAATGGATTAATGGTCCACTACTAGCTCTCGCATTTCATCACATCAATCCAATCATACAATACAAACCATATTTCCAATCCACAAGTCAAATCATACTTACTGAAAATAGATCATTGGCCAGAAATAAAATAACACTTCAATAGAATTCACATTTAATTAACATGGGTCTATGGCGTATGTATATATAATTCGCATTTCAATATGCAATTCGAATCACTTTCCCACAAATATTACCCATCCATAATCAAACCACATTTAATAAAAATAGATCGATGGCCAATTATAAAAGAAATCACATTTTAGTAGCTTAGTTTGGTTAGTAATGTATGCTACTTGTATTTATACTCTAGATTGTACTTTTGTGTTCCGATTAGGCTCTTCAAAGGAACAAAATTAATATTATCTAAAGAAAGTACACTAATTAAGGAATCTACCACTCAAATAATATCACTCAAGTAGTAGTAAAGAAGATTAGAAGGGAATCTGGAAAAGAAAATAGGTGTGGCAAAAAAAAGTACTCTACTTCTCCACAAAATCTGCAGAAAACAGCACTATTAGACCAAGTTTAGGCTCCCTTTGGGACATTCCAAACTAAACCAAATCATGTGATATTATATGGGTTTTGAAGCTTGTGTTCTGTACTTTAAAAGCATACAAAGTTTGTAGAAAACGGAGCTCTAAATTGGAAGTTATGCCAAAAGGAAAAACGGAGTCTTGACATTGGAAACCCAATTTTCTGCTGCTGTTTGGCAGCCCGTGACCCAAACTTAAAAAAGGTTTTGCTCAACCAAAACTCAACGAAAT